TTAAACATTGTGTTTAAAAATGGTATGTTTTGATTTGTCAACCAGTCTTGGATATTTTTTTTTGTCCATGCATTGTTGGGCACTTTGTTCAATATCATGCTGTGATAAGGGGCGTTATCCAGTATAATCATAGATGGACTCTCCAATTTTTCTAATAACTGATGTTGAAACCATTTCAAAAAATTGTCCTGGTTCATCTCTCCATGGTAATCGCTCAATTTTGTTTTCGAAGAAAATATCGCTTCACTACCCTCAATAAACCCATTTTCATTTCCAGCATGTAATATAATGTATGTAAAATATATTAGTTTTAAATTTTATAGTGCAAATTGTGTAAAAGTACATACCTTTTACCATCTGTTTTAATAGCTTTCAAGCTTTTTTGGTTTCCATTTTGCCAAGAGCGACCTATGGTCCCATTTTGAAATATCCAAGTTTCATCGAGGAAGACAAACTGGTATAAGGCCTCAACCTTGGCTTGATTGTATTGCCTTAGAAATTCCACCCTTTTCAAAGCTATACTTGGTAGTTCCATGAGCCCTCGTCGCGGATTGTCCTTAAGCCACTTAAATCCAAGATCTCTAAGCAACCGCCTTAAAGACGTGGCACTACCATCAAATAATGCCCTATCTCTTAATCGAGACCATAAAGTTTGTATCGTAACTTGTTCTTCTGAAACCATGTGTAATATGACCTTATAATTTAGTTAACAAATTAATGCAAATTTCTGATAAGTTATTATAATAAGATCTTACTTTTGTGATACATATTATAGATCACTTCTCGAATGGCACTTGTATCCAATGTCGCTGTGTTGGTTACACGTTTAATATAACTCCGCTTTTTCTTGGGCGATTCTAAATTTGCATCACTTTTCACACCCTCGGAAATACGACTAACTGTCCTTAAACTAATTTTTAAAGCAGCAGCAACACGCTACAAAAAATGAAATAAAATTTCACTATTATTAATATACATTACATATAATTATTAGTAACCTACCTCTTGAACAGCATTTAAAGACAACAAAGGCCCGTTGTTGTCCCTTTCTTGCTTAAAGTAGTGCATTAACGAGGCCACGAGTTCCTTACACCGACTATTTAACTGTTTGGGCATCTTTATATACCAAAATTGCCTTTATCTACTCGTAAAATGAATAATTTTGTTTTGAAACAAACAGTTGTTGATTTACAGTATGCGGGGCCAAAGGATTTATAAAGATTTGAAATGCCACAAATTGATTCAGTGTCAAAATTAATACAAATGTCAGTTCCCAGTTTAAATAAGTTTCAAGGTGACAATGTGTCAACGCTGCGAAATCGGTTTAGTGCGTTTACATGTCGATAAGTGATTGGAGCGTTTGCAAAACATTTTATTTCGCATAATGCGTCTAAATTTATCAGAAAGCAACTTATGTGATATTTTAATAACAATGTTTATATGACTATTAACCATAATAAGAGAGTAATGACCATTTTACAATTTATATATCACATTAATATGAAACTGCAATAGAGCAATTGTTTGTGATAGAAACCTAGGCATTAGGTCGGGGAATTTTTATCGTGATGACGTGCACGCCACTTTGTTTGGCGTTGACTATATACATTATTAAACACTATTCGAGGACAACTGCTGCATTTGCATTTTTCATAAATCCATCTTCTCAGGATATGGACAATTTCTTTTAGGGTAACAATTCTCCGAGTATTTGATCTGAGAACTACAATATGCACATTCACCTTTTTTTGAATCAGACAAATTAATCGTAGCTTGTCGAATTAGATTTTTTGTTCAGGGAGGCAAATCATTATACTGGGTTTCATATTCCATACTATGTTTTGTACGAGGCCTTGCTAGAAGTTTAACAGAACTATTGATGGGAAAAACAAGGTCAGACTTGTAGTAACATTTATCAAGGATTTTATTATTGACGACGGGTTGATGTACTAGTATGACTTTAAGCCGCACCTTCAAGGTCAGAGTATTTGCATGAGAACGTATTAATAATAATAATAATAACAGGAATAATAATAATAATCTGTTTTGCAGCATTTTTAAAAAAATAATTTCGTCTCAAGCAACCAGACTGCATCAATCTAAGGTCAGTTGTTACCAATAGTGTGTTATTCATTGGTTATCGTCAGACATTTGGCATCTGATACATCTTCATAACCTGTAAACACCGGAAGAATCCGTGCGTTCAACGTGAAAACGGAACCGGCGTTGCCGTATTTACCTTGAATTCTGCACTGTCCTGGTAGTCAAATCAAATCACATAATGCCTCAAACTACGCAAATGAGTTGTACTTGCTGCAAAAAACTTGGGGATGACAACAAGTTTGTGAACTGTTCTGTGTGGAAGAACCATTATTTTTACAGCTGCCTTGAGTTGTCCCAAAATGATGCCAAAATTTTGAAAAGCAAATCAAACGTTCATTTCACCTGTAAAAACTGTAGCATGATTGGTGCTACATTATCTGATCTTCGAGCATTGGTTATTTCTTTGCAAGAGGAAATAAACGCTCCCAAGTCTACTCGCACTGACACAGCCCAGATATCACCTTCTGTCGAATATGAAGATATAATTCACGAAATAAACGACAGACAGTCTAGGAAGAAAAACTTAATTATCTTTGGGGTTCAAGAGAGTGCAGATCAGTCCAACGCGCAAAAGAGGGCTCATGACACTGAACAAATCAAAAAGATTCTACAGGTCTTGGATCGTGATGTTAATGCCGATTTTATTAAGCCGATTAGACTAGTATCTATCAAAGCTGGTATAATGAGGCCCATGAAAATAACACTTGGGGATGAAGATGACGTTCGTGCTTGTATTAAGTCAGCTAGCAACTTAAAGAGGAGCAATGTTTTCTCCAGGACTAGTATCTCATTTGATCATACACCTCGACAGATCTTGCATTATAAAAAACTGAAACAGGAGATGGAAGAACGCTCTGCAAGAGGCGAAGACGGCTTAAAAATCAAGTACGTTCGTGGTGTCCCTAGAATCGTTTCGGAAAACTAGGGAAGCCCCACAAAAATATCCCTATGCGCTGTTATTTCCAAAACGTGCGCGGACTGAATACCAAATTCAATGAATTTTATTCCGCAATTTTGTCTTGCTGATTATGATTTTGTAGGACTTGCCGAAACTTGGTTGTGTAGTGGTGTGAGAAATTCGGAACTACATATTTCCTCCGGAGTATATTGTCCACCGTTGTGACCGCGATTTCTTAAAAACAAACACTTCATGCGGAGGAGGGGTTTTGCTAGCATGTAAAGATATGTTTAATGTTGAGTCAATTAATCTTGAGCACATTCGCAATGAAATTTACTTGATCGATATTCTAGGGGTCAAGTGTACTAAAGGATTTAATTCGGTATCTATATATGTCCTGTATGTACCACCACAAGTAACATTTGTAGACTTTGAAACATTCTTGGAATTATTTTCACAAACTACAATAAGTCAATTAAATGTCCTAATTATAGGAGATTTCAATGTAACAAATTTTGTTGATAATACATTTGACTGCACTTAACAGATTTTTGGAATTTTCAGGTCTTTCTCAAACCAATACTGTTTTGAATGCTAGACAAAGAATGTTGGATTTGGTGACAACTGACATGACCTGCGAAACCTATCATGATAATTTGCCGCTGGTCAAGGATCATCATCATCATATCATCCTTCTCTATCTGTAGTTTGTGAAACTAAATTCAATGCCACTATTAATTTTGACACGAATGTAGCAACTCCAACGTACAACTTCAGGAAAGCTAATTTCATTGGCCTTTACAATGCCTTGACTTACATTGATTGGTCCTTTTTGGACAACGTGGAGGATGTCAATCGCATGTGTGACTTGTTCTATGAAAAATTATACTTCGTTTTTGATCTGTACGCTCCGAAATATATTAAGCATAAGCATCGTTATCCAGGTTGATATGGCTCGGATATTATTCGAAATTTAAAACTGAAATGTAGACTGCATCAACAATATAAACGTTCCAAAAGTCAGTAAATCTATAGACAGTTTTTTAGGGTCCGTGCACTTGTTAAACAACAGATAAAAGACTGTTACAATCTATATCTGCAAAAAGTTGAAAATGATTTGGTGACAAATCCGAATCATTTTTGGTCTTTCATCCAGTCTAAGAAAGGCTCATCTAGAATACCAGGTAGGATGACCCTTGCTAATGAAGTCTCAGATAATCCTAATCGGACTATTAATTTATTCGCAGAGTATTTCCAAAGTGTTTATGTTATAGATAGTAATGTATACCAACATCCCGTTGTTAATAGTCAGCATGACTGTTTTCATCTGGGTAACTTCACAGATGAGGATATTCTAAAGGCACTGTGTAAATTACCAAACAAGTTAAGAGCAGGAAAAGATATGGTACCGAGCTTTGTAGTCCGTGATGCGGCGCACATATTTGTCAGGCTTTAAAGAAAATTTTTAATTATTCCCTCAGTACAGCAACTTTTCCTACAAAATGGAAACTGGCTAGAGTGTGCCCTATTTTTAAAGCTGGGGACCCTAGTCAAATCGAAAATTACCGAGCTATATCTATATTGGATAATTTTGGTAAGGCATTTGAGATATCTGTATACAACTACATCTATCCTTTGACCTCGCATCTGATATCTGAGACGCAACATGGATTTATGCGCAATCGCTCTACTATTTCTCACTTAACTGAAATCACCCAGGAAATTGCAGAGGTCTTAGATAACAGAGGTCAGATGGATGTGGTCTATACGGATTTCTCAAAGGCCTTCGATAAGATAAGTCACCAAAGAATCATAGGTAAACTTCAGCATTTCGGCTTTAGCAATCATTTATTAGATTTCATTTCTTCTTACTTGCATGATAGAAGTCATTACGTTTCTTACCATGGTTTCAAATCTTCACCTTACTCGGCCTCATCCGGTGTACCGCAGGGATCAAATATAGGTCCTCTTCTCTTTGTTTATTTTATCAATGACCTCCCTAACTGTTTAACCTGTCCTTCTCTGTTGTTTGCCGATGATTTAAAAATATATGCTCAGATTAACAGCATTCTTGCAAGCTGACCTGAATCATATATTTGAATGGTGTTCAACTAATAAATTATTTTTGAATGTTAGCAAATGCAATACCTGTTCTTTTACCAGGAAAACGAATCCAATAGTTTTTTATTACACACTAGAAGGTGTCAGTTTGATGCGTTGTTCAGAAGTAAGAGATCTAGGTGTGTTGTTTGATGTTAAATTAGAATTTACAGGTCATATTAGTACAATAGTATCATCCGCTATAAAAAGTCTCGGTTTTTTTATAAGAAACTGTAAATCGTTTGGTTGTGAAACGACACTGAAGGCTTTATACTGCACCTTGGTGCGTTCTAAGCTGGAATATGCATTTAGTATATGGCACCCATATTACCAAATCTATATTAATGAAATTGAAAGTGTACAGAGGAGATTTCTTAAATACTTGACTTTCAAATTAGATGGTGTTTATCCCAATCGTGGGACTTCCCAAACGTTCCTTTACAAACTCGTACACAGTGATGTTGATTCTTCAGCTTTATTAGCTAAAATTGATTTTCATGTACCGTCCCGCATTTCCCGAAGATTTCTCGCTTTTTACTTAAAAACACCGAATTCTAATGTTATGATTAAGTCACCCGTGTACTTTATGTGCTCCAGCTTTAACGCTATAGCTGATAATTGTGACATTCATCATGATAAAATCAAAGATATATTAGCTGTATTCAGCGACTACTATTATTCAATTTATAACATTTAAGACATGTAGGTGAGTAGGTGTAGCTATTCATTTTTTTTTCATAAAATGGGTGAACTATGATTGTAGTTGAAAATATTGTAACATCGAATTGTATTCAATTACATTGTCCTTTAAATGGATGTATCTGTTGGGCAATAAATATATTATTATTATTGTTATCCCAAGAAATTAACTTGACCTGTACTTCATCATATTTAAGCATCCAAAAAATTATACGAAATAAAATGAGATACCCTAGCGTGATCTATGAGTGTTTGTCAATGCTGTTTCTCCTCTCCGCGCTAATTGCAAGACTACTTTGAAAAGGTTCAGCATTTCATATATGGCGCTATAGTCAACTGTATGAGCAGCTCGATACAGCGGAATATGCAAAAGACTAATCTTTTCAAAATAGATCTATAATTATTGTGGAAAAGAGAAACACAGCTGTAATAAATTGTCATAGATGACGCTACGGTATGCCATTTTATCTCGAACAATTTTTTGGATGCTGCTCCAGGTATAGATTTATACCGAAAAGGAAAAGAAGAGCAAAACACACCGCACAAAGTCGCATTGGCAGTGACATGCGATGTGTTTAGCCGTTTTCTTCCTTCCCGGTGCCCCAGTATACATTTAATCAATGGCTTTTATTTTTTTGTAAAACCTCATTCGGTGCTGACAATTTTAATGGTTCTAACAAATATACCATCTAGACTACTTCACGGTTCGTCTCCCAAACATATTGCCAGTTATTCCTTCATGAAACGAGGCGCTAAATCATGAAAATCGCCGCAGTAATAGCACACAAGCCGTCTCCCAGTCAAGGTGAAGAATATTACTATAAACAAGCAGGCGGAGTGCAGAAAGAGCTCAGCAGGATGAAAATAAAAATAACAATACACTCACCTCACGTTCTCGTGTTTCTGGATGTATATCTTGTGGAACTGACCTTCGACCGGCGATATTATGTCATTTTTCATCTCCATCGCGACGTGCTGTGGCAGCACTGACAGCAACAGACGTTCCTGGAAATATAAATTTGTTACTATGGACGGAAACTATATTTTTATAGGTCTTATCAAACACACAAGCGTTACATTTCTACCTAATCTAGTGATCTCGACGCAAGAAGATTCAGCTGAAAAATAAAGGGGTGTCAAAATCGTGCAAGGACGGTATACTCGTAGCTCCTAAACGAAAAGTTATTAAAGGAAATCATTTATCGATTATTATATATGGTATCTGGAGGCACATTTTTAAAATATTCACAATTTTATAGGGTGTATCAATTTTGACCCACATATCACATTTGATTTTAGTTAAATGGAATGGCCTTACTTTTTATTATATAGTCGCATTGGCCCTTTAAAAAGATCAAGATCGATATAAAATGCTTATGGGTTTTGGTTATTACTTGTTGAATTAATGGGTATTTCATATACTATAAAACATCAATGTTTGACAGCCTGCATATCAGCTATGTTTACAGGTGGAGTCGTGAATGTTGTGACAAAATATTCCAGTTATACTCAAATTTAACCTGATTCATCCATTTTTAAAATCTTTTGAATGATCAATACAGGGTGGTCAAAAACGCAAAATCTACTTCTTCGTAAAGAAATTAAATGGAACACGCTGTATATTTTTGCACTACGGTTGTTACTAGTTTCTTCACACGGTTTCTGAGTTAAAGCTATATGTGTGTTTCAAAAAATTCGATATTTTTCTATTGATAATATAAAATTAACTTTTTGAGATGTCTGACTGACGCCTATAAGTAGGGGAGACTAGGGAGGGTTGATACGTGAGGAGGCTTGATACACCTTCAAATTTCCCGCCTCGGTTTCGTATAGAATGCTTAGCCTCGTGCAGAGCCGACTGTGAGTGTTGAAACAGTAGCTGATAGAATCTCGGAACGATGGCGTGTTGTTTGGCAGTTTTTGAGGTTATAGTGCGTTTTATACCTATTCGATGTAAGTTGTGTCATACCAAACGTAAGGCTTTAGCTGTTTGATAGGAAAATTAAGAAAAATCTTACGTATTATGCCTCAAGCGCATTTGATTTACAATATTAGGGCACCAGTATCGATCTTTTAATCAACTGTTGTAATACCTTTATGTTATATATTTCATAAAATTATCATCCCGGGAGGGTTGATACGTATGTCAAACCTCTCTGTATGAACTGTATTTATTTTTTCACATAATTTTTCACTATTTATGTGGTTTTCATGGCAATTACATAGGCTAATTAAGTATATTGTTATAGATGCCTTTTAAATGGAAATCCAAAGGCCGGACGAAGAATTCTCCAAACGATTTAAAAAGCGCAGTGCTTGAAGTAGTGAATGAAAATAAAGCACTTAGGACTACTGCCAGAAAGTACAACGTTGATAAAATGACACTGAAAAGATATGTCTTAAAATACCAGACGGATAAAAGTACTACCTTTTCACCAAGTTTTGTCACTTCGCAAATTTTTCCATCTGATGAAGAATCGCTTTTAGTGGAATATTTGCTCACTTCTGCAAACCTTTACTATGGCCTTACGCCTAAGCAAACAAGGAAGTTTGCGTATGAATTTGCCCGAGCAAATAATAAAAAACTACCAGAAAACTGGAAGAAAAACGAATGTGCTTCCTACGATTGGCTAAAAGGATTCATGTCACGTCATCCCCAATTATCACTGAGAAGTCCTGAAGCCACTTGCTTGGGGAGAGCGACATGTGCAAGAATTTTACAAAGATTTGCGCAATTTATTGTAACGGGAACCTTTTGGTCCAGAATCCGTCTATAACTTAGACGAACAGAGCGTGGTACACTAGTGACAGTCTGTTGTGCTATAAATGCATTGGGAAATTCTGTGGCACCATTTTTTATATTTCCTCGTGTAAGAATGCAGGATTACATGACCCAAGATGCTCCTCCAGGCTCCATTGCTGTGGCGCATGAAAGCCGTTGGATGACTGCTGATAATTTCGTTAATTATCTAGATCACTTCATAAAACACACAAAACGTTCGAAAGAAAACAAATACATATTGGTCCTTGACAATCACGAGAGCCATATTTCACCCAAAACCTTAGAAAAATGTAAGTTAAATGGCATTCATTTATTAACCTTACCACCTCACACAAGCCACCGATTACAGCCACTAGACGTATCGGTATTTGGTCTGTTTAAGAGGTTTTATAATGAACGTACAGATTCCTGGATGGACAAACAATTTTGTTGAAAAATGTACCGGAATTAGTTGGATTAGCTTATGTCAGGGCGTTCACACCTTCAAATATATCCAAAGGATTCTGGACAACTGGAATCCATCCTTTCAACAAACATTTATTTGAAGATCTCGATTTCGCAGTAGCAGAAGTTACAAATAGACCAAATCAGGAATTAGAGCAAAATTCTGAAAAAGAACTTGTTAGAAATGACCCAATAGCTCAACCTGGCACATCCATATCTCAGCAGGAGTCAACACCACAACCTGGCACATCTTCATTATTTGAAAAGAAGACAACTTCAAATACAAAGAACACTTCTTTAAATGGTAGCACTACTATCCAAAGCACCACATCTGGTTTATTGAAAAGTCCCGAGGAAGTACGTCCTTACCCCAAGGCACTGCCACGATTGAAAAAAGGAGGCAGAAAGCCTGGCCGGACCAGAATCTTAACCAACACCCCGGAAAAAGAAGCAATTGATGCCGAATATAATATGAGGTAAGAAAAGAATCGGATGAAAACAAAAACTTAACAGGTTAAACGAAAAATAGGTAGTGAAACTGAAAAAAATAATCACTTCGAACAACTCAATGCCGAGAGTAGTGAAACCCACCCCAAAAGAAAAGTTTTGGATAGAAATGCAAAAACGAAAAGACCTGTGTTCGATGACTCGGATTCTGACGACGAAAACGAAAAGGATCCAATTGCTGATGCAGATGACGATGACGATGCCGCTTGCATCTACTGCAATTCACTATTTTCAGCGTCTCGTTCTGGCGAACAGTGGATTCGTTGCCAGAAATGTCTAAAATGGTGCCATTCCGCCTCTGCAGATGTCAAGCCTAATATAAAATGTTTTCTTGCGAATTATGTATTGATTAGTTAATGTTCTAATAATAAAAGATTGCAGTTCTTCTAGTGTTTTATATTTAATTTCTTATTGTATCAAACCTCCCATTCAGTGTATCAAGCCTCCCTTTTATAGGGAGGTTTGAGACACTTTGCATTGAGAATTTCAACATTGTATATTCAAAGTTAAACTATTTATTTTCAACCTAATGTTGCCAAATTTGTAAGCGAAGTCATTTAATTGAGCTCTGACATAAATGGATTAGCAAATGTGAATCACAGAATGTTTATTAACATTTTTGTAAAAAACGGATCAACCCTCCCTAGTCTCCCCTACTACAGAAAATTTTCAAAAGTGTCGCATTGAAGTTGAACACATAATCAAAGTATTCGAATAAATATTTGTTTCACACTTACTAGCGTGTGTTCACTGATATTTAGAAACGCTTCTTGCTTCATATCATTCGAAGTCTTCCATTATGTTTTCAACTGCACGGGAAGATTTTTGAACATTTTTTTGTAGAAGTACAAATAGTTTCAATTTTAATTATGTTCACTCATACGCTTCATTTTCACCTCAAGAAATTTTATATTGTGATAATAATCTGTAATAATGAATCAGGACATAATTTTATGGACATATTAATAATCATTACTTGTTTTTTGTTTCCAAGGATGCTGTGATTTGTTTGAAAATAGAAATATCCAATTTTTTTTTGAAACAAATATCTATAACGTAGAAACCGTTTGAACAAACCAGTAACAACCATATATTTAAAAAAAGCTCATGAAAATGGGGATCCGATAGTGTATAGATGTACAGAAAGTTCCACTTAATTTTCTTGCAAAAAAGTACATTTTACGTTTGTGAGCACCCTGTAATGATCATTCAAAAATTTGGAAAATGGATGAATCAGGTTAAATCAGAGTATAATAAAAATATTTTGACATAAAATACACGACTCCACCAGTCAACATGTCAGCCATGCAGCCTGTAAAACTTCGATTTTTATACAAAACATCTATTAATTCGACAACAAATAACCAGCCGATAAGTATGTTAGATAAAACTTCTTTTTTTAAAAGGGCCTATCCGAATGTGTAATAAAGAGTAGGGATTCCGACTTTGATATGTGGGTCAAAATTGACACCCTGTATGATTGTGAATATTTTGAAAATATGCCTACACTCTTCAATAATATGTAACGCTCGTTACTTTATTCAAAAGAACACACCTTCCGATTATTTATGAAAAACAATTTCAGTTAAATGGCTGCCGTGGCTGGTCTGGCATTAGACCATCCTCTTAACATAATTTTGAAGCATTTCATGAATAGCTCGACGGATATTTTCCTTAAAACATCAATTGTCTGAGGATCGTTAGTGTAACAGCGGACTTTAGCAGCACCCCATAGGAAGTAATCCATGGGCGTCTAATCACAGCTGCGGGCTGGCCAATGAACGTCTCCAAAATGGCTGAGAACGCGATGACCGTACTTAGTGTGTAAAAGTTTGTTTCACGGCTGGTGTGGCATGTCGCGCCATCCTGCTAGAACCAGAGATTATGCAAGTGCATGTCGTCTAATAGTGGCCACAAAAAACTCCTCAACATGTGTCGATAGCGTTCCCCGTTTACCGTCACGTTGTTACCATCTTCATCTTGAAAAAAGTAGGGAACAATAATCCCACCACTCCGAAAGCCACACCAAACAGTTACTTCTTTTGGATGCATTGGTTTTTCTATGACGACATGTGGATTTTCAGAACTCCAAATCCTAGAGTTCTGCTTGTCAACGTAACCTCCCTGCTTCGTCCGAAAAGATGTTTTGGCGGCCAAAATTGACGTCCGTTTCCAATTGATTTAGAGCCTACATACAGAAACGATATCGAAGCGCATGGTCATTTTGTTTCAACTCTTGCACAAATTGCACCTTGTAAGGAAATAATCCCAGG